AGTATCAGACCACATAGACTTCAGGCAAAAGAAGGTTACAAAAGACAGTGAAGGTCATTTCTTAATGATCAAATGATCTGTACATCAAGAAGAACTCACACTCCTAAATGTATATGTACCTAATGAGGAACCAGCAAAATAACTTTTAAAAAATGTGCAGAGACTTAAAGTCTTTGATAGCAACATAAAATAGTTGGAGATTTCAAAACTGCTTTATTTCCTCTCAAGAAATCAACCAGACTCATGCTCAGAAAGGACATACTTTATCTGAGGGAAGAAATAAAAAACAAGGGTTTGTGTGTGTATGTATGTATGTGTGTATATATACATATATATGTACATGTGTATATATGTGTATATATATATGTATAATTTCATCCCCCAAAAGCTGAATACACATTCTTCTCAAGTGCAATGGGACATGCTCTACATGCTAGGCCACAAAACATACACCGATACGATTAAGACAAATTTTTTTTCTTTCGATTTTTGGGTCACACCTGGCAATATACAGAGGTTACTCCTGGCTCTGCACTCAGGAATCACTACTGGTGGTGCTTGGGAGACCATATGGGATGCTGGCAATTGAAGCTGGGTCAGCCTTGTGCAAGGCAAACGCCCTACCCGCTGTGCTATCACTCTAGCCCCAAAGACAGATTTTTATCAGCAATCTTCTCAGACCATGATACACTGAAAATAGAAGTGAATCATACACAGGAACAGAAATTTAAATTAAACACCTGGAGGAAATCAAAAGATTCCTGGAAACAAATGTAAATGAAGCATGAGTTACCAGAACTTATGGAACACAGCAAAAGCAGTGTTAAGAGGAAAGTTTCTAGTTCTAAAAGCATTCCTCAGGAAGGAAGAGTGAGTCCATATTAGTAATTTAACTCACAGCTTAAGATCTTGGAGAATGGCCAACAAAAGGAGCCCAAACTAGGCAGGAGGAAATAAATAAGAAAACTTAGAGCAGAAAGTAATGAAATGGAAAGCAAAAAAAAAAAAAAAAAAAACCAGAAAGATCAATGAAACAAAGAGCTGGTTCTTTTAGAAAATAACAAGGTTGAAAAACAACTTCTATGAGTCACAAAGAAAGAGAGAAAGACCCCTAATAAATAGAATCAGAAACAAAAATGGGAACATCATAGTATAAACCACAGAAATTCAGAGAAAAATCAGAGATTATTTTGAGAATCTTTATGACAGGAAACCAAGAGAACCTTAAAGAAATAGATAAATTACTGGACTCTTATAATCTACCAAAGGTGAACCAGGAAGATTTAGAATACCTGAACAGATCTAACACCATCAAGGAATTAAAATAGTAATAAAAATTCTCCCTACCTGAACAGATCTAACACCATCAAGGAATTAAAATAGTAATAAAAATTCTCCCAAAACACAAAAACCCTGGCCCAGATGGATTCACTAGTGAATTCTTCCAAACATTTAAAGAGGACCTATTCCCAATACTCTTAAAACTTTTCCAAGAAATTAAAGAAACAGAAAAACTTCTAAACAGTTTGTATGAGGCAAATATCACTCCTGTACCAAAAGCAGAGACACCATAAAAAAGAGGACTACAAGCCAATATCCCTGATGAACACAGATACAAAGATCCTCAACAAAATACTATCAAATATAATCCAACAACTCATCAAAAAGATCATATACCATGACCAAGTGGGATTCATCCTGGGATGCAAGGATGGAACAACACTCACAAGCCCTAATCAACATAATACACTATATAAATAAAAGGAAAGATAAAAACCATGTGATCATATCAATAGATGCAGAGAAGGTATTTGACAGGATTCAGCACCTATTTGTGATTAAAAACTCTTAGTAAAATGGTAGTCAAAGGAACTTTGCTCAATATAGTCAAAGCCATCTACCACAAGCCAACAGCAAGCATTATTCTCCGCTGATTTTCCCCACAAATGGGGAAAAACTAAGAGTCTTCTCTCTAAGATTGGGAACAAGACAAGGTGCCCACTCTTGCAGTTTCTATTAAATATACTACTGAAAGTACTTGCCATAGAAGTTAGGCAAGAAAAAGATATCAAGGGAATCCAAATAGAAAAGGAAGAAGTTAAACTAACACTATTTACAGTTGACATGGTACTATACTTCAAGTATCACGGTCCTCCCGTTGTTCATCGATATGCTCGAGCGGGCCCAGTAACGTCTCCATCATGAGACTTCTTGTTACTGTGTTTGGCATATCGAATACATCACGGGTAGCTTGCCAGGCTCTGCCATGCAGGCGAGATACTCTTGGTAGCTTGCCAGGCTCTCCGAGAGGGGTGGAGGAATCGAACTCAGGTTGGCCATGTTGGCTGCTTGCAAGGCAAATGCCCTACCCGCTGCACTAAGACTCTACAGAAAAACTCATAGAAACAATAGGTTTATATAGTAAAGTGGCAGGTTACAAAATTAAAACCCCAAAGTCCATGGCTTTTCTATATACAAATAATGAAAGAGAAGAAAGAGATATTTAAAAAAACAATACTGTTCACAGAAGTGTCTCAGAAAATCAAGTACCATGGAGCCAGCTTAACTAAAGAAGTGAAGGATCTATACAAATAAAATTGCAAAACATTACTTCAAGAAATAAGAGGACACTAGGAAATGGAGATACATCCCTGCTCATGGATAGGGAGGATTAGCATTGTCAAAATGGCCATACTCTTCAAAGCATTATACATCCTTATAAGGATGCCCAGGACATTTTCAAAGAAATAGACAAAACACTCCTGAAATACATATGGACTATACCCCTCCCCACTAATAGCTAAAGGAATCCTTGGGGGAAAGAATATGGTTGGCATCACCTTCCCCAACATCAAACTGTACTACAAAGCAGTGGTAATTAAAACAGCAAAGTACTGGAATAGAAGGAGATTCACAGACCAAGGGAAAGAGTAGAATATTCTGACACAAACTATTAATCATATGATCACTTAATCTTTGACAAAGGATCAAGAAATATGAAATGGGGCAATTAAATCCTCTTCAACAAATAGTGCTGGGGAAACTGGACAACTACATGAAAAAAATGAACTCAGACTTCTGTCTAAAACCAAGCACAGAAGTCAGATCAAAAGGAATGAAAGACCTCAATATCAGACCTGAATCCATAAGGTACATGGAGGAAAATGTAGACAAAACACTTCATGAAATTTAAGCTAAAGGCATCTTCAAGGATGAAACACCACTGACCAAGCAAGTAGAAGCAAATATAAACAAATGTGACTATATTAAACTAAGAAGCTTTAGCACCTCAAAAGAAACAGTGACCAAAATACAGACAGAGCCTACAGAATGGGAAAAATTATTTACCCAATATCCATCTGGGATATACAAGACACTGGTAGAACTTTATAAGAAAAAAATATACAGCCCCATCAAAATATGGGGAGAAGAAATGAACAGGAACTTTCTCAAAAAAAATAGAAATTGCCAAAAGGCACATGAAAACATGCTCTACATTCTACATGCTCTACATGCTCTACATTTGCATCAGGGAGTTGCAAATCAAAACAACAATGAGATATCATCTCATACCACAGAGACTGGCACACATTAAAAAGCACAAGAACAACCAGTGCTGGTGTGAATGAGAGGATAAAAGGACTCTCCTTTATTGTTGGTGAGAATGCACCTTTTTGGAAAAAAATATAGACATTCCTCAAAAACTTAGAAATTTTTCCTCAAAAAATGAGCTCTCATAGGACCCAGCAATATCACTTCTGGAAATAGATCCAGGGAATGCAAAAAAGCACCGTAGAAATGACACCTGCACTTGTAGGTTTGTTTCAGCACTATTCACATTAGCCAGAATCTGGAAATAATCCAAGTGCCTGAGAAGAGATGACTGGTTAAAGAAACTTTGGTACATCTACACAATGGGATACTATGCAGCTGTTAGAAAAGATGCAATCCTGAAATTTGCATATAAGTGGATAGACATAAAGAGTATCATATTAAGTGAAATGAGTCAGACGAGAGAGGATGGACATAGAATGACTGCACTAATTTGTGGAATATAAAATAACATACTTTGAGACTAATATCTAATGACAGTAGAGACAAGGGACAGGAGGATCATTCTGTGGTTTGGAAGCCTGCCTCATGTGCTGGGGAAAAAGGAAGTTGAGATGGAGAAGGGACCACTAAGTAAATGATGGTTGGAGGGATCATTTGGGATGGGAGATGTGTGCTGAAAGTAGACTAAGGACCAAACATGATGGCCTCTCAGTATCTGTATTGCAAACCATAATGCCCCAAAGTTAGAGAGACAGTAGGAAGGACGGTGCCTGCCACAGATGTAGTGGGTGGGATATGGTGGGGGTGGCAGGAGGAATACTGGGAGCATTGGTGGTGGAAAATGTGCACTGGTGGAGTGTTGGGTGTTGGAGCATTGCATGACAGAAACTTAATCATGAAACCTTTGTAACTGTGTCTCACAGTGATTCAATAAATATTTTTAAAAAGATTTTCATCTTTCTTTCCTCTATCATTTCTTTCTTTCAATATGCACATGATACTATAATGACTCTTCGAGTTCCTGGAACGAGCAGATGCCATTTGGCTACACTAGTACATGACAGAGAACAATGGAGATGTTACTGGCACCTGCTCGAGCTAATCGATGAGCAACAGGATGACAAATGATACAAGTGACCCATAACGACAAGAAATAAAAATATGAATGAAATGTTGTTTCTGCTTTTAAGAAGTTTTTAGTAAAAAAAAAAAGCAAATTCACGAATGCAGGTAACTAAGAACTAAGGCAGAGATGAAGGAAATGAAGTCTGGGAAGATTGTAGCAAGACATTAAGTTGGATATATTGTCCTGGAAGATTACTGAGAGGAAATGATTGAGTCTTACAATCAAATGTATTTGAAAGTCAGGGAAAAGAGAGAGCACTGAAGACTTATTTGCTACTAAGACCCAATATGTCTTCATAATAATTACTTAGAACACTTACCTTTCACCATAAGTAATGCTGAGTTCATCCAGAACCCCACTGAGTTTAACTTGAAGTTCTTTTAGAATAGTACTAGCTTCAGGATCCAGCTGCATAGAGACCATAAATAATACTATTTTGGTATTTTGAGAAAACGGTGCTGTTGATTTCTCAAACATTTGTCATAGTGTAATATAAACATCAACCAATGTAACACATACATCTGCTTTTCCTTCATTTCCTTTTCATCTCAAAAATCAAATGCAACAATTAGGACATTCTCAATAAATTGAAAAGGTTTTTAAATACGGATAAGTAAAATGAATGCAATGCATAGCATGCATACAAATTAGAGCTGGATAGCAAAGCCTTTGTTGGTTACAGCAATGAATTGCAAGGCATGATAAAATAACTTCCAGAACATAAATTTATAACAAAGAGGATATAACATGTTATATATTACTTAGATATATTTCAATCTTTTATATCCAGTAAATAACAAGGCCTATGATAAATTTTAAAATAGAAATAATCTTCTAAAAATTATTAAATGGCCAGTTAGATAGTAAAGTGAGTAGGGCTCATGCGTCAGACACCTTCAAATTGTGTTTGATTTCCAGCACCATATGGTACCCTGAATCCCTGGGTGCAGCGCTGTAGACTCTTGAATGTTATCAGTGTGGCTCTGGAGACATTCAGGACTGCTGGACTTGCCACAAGTGTCCACAGTATCATAGGGCCCAGGTAGCATCCCATCCTTGGATGCTTGAATGAATCAATAACTTACTTGGCCAAGTATCGCTTTTGGATCTCTGGCTCTCCTGAGCACTGTTTGGGAGACCACTACGTTAGCAACAACAAAATGCTCCTTGAATATCAAATTATTTCTATTCTGAAGGTATTTTTATATTTTTCTAACTATGGAATTAGCAGTAACAGAATTATGAAATAATTTAAAACTTTTTATGATTCTTTGGAGCTAGTAAGATTGGCTTCTTTTGAATACCAATTTGCAAAAGTTCAAGATTCAAAGTTTCACATTTTTATTTTTCCCTAAATATTTAAATATTATGTCTTGGAGCTTGGCTACAAATTTCTGGTAAAAAGGAAGCCTATATTTGATGGCTATTTTTACAAGACACACCTTTGTTTTCTGATACCTTAGTTCTCCTTAAATAAATGCCTAAAGCCAGAGAATAGTGGCCTCATAATTTTAGAATCATTTTAATATAATTTTTACAGAAAAATAAACTTGTTCAGAAAATAAATGTTAATATACTATTATGCAGTTATAGATCTAATTCAAAATTTTACCAATAGCCTCCATGATATCCATTATCTGATCTGATCTACTTATCCCAAATCACACATTGCATTTGTTATATTTCTTTTCTTACTTTTAACTCCTCAGTTCTTGCCTTCATGGACCTTTTGATGATTCAGTTTTTATTTTCTGGTGATACTGAGAAGTGAGTCTTGCAAAGCCAGTGACCTATGAGCCAATTTTCTGACTAGCTATTTTATATTATGTCTTTTTGTTTTAATTTGTCCATTGAATCCTATTGCTAAAATTTAGGTAATACAAATTTTTATCTAGGTAACTTTAGTAAGTCACTACAAAAAGAGGGCATAATGTCAAACCTTCTCAAAATGAATGTGACTACAACACTAACCACCAAAGTATCAATATGCCTCCTTCAGAGTCACTTTTGATGAGTTTAGTTCTGAAACTGGTAAGAGTCAACATCACAAAAGAACTTTAATAAATACAAATGAACGTATCTATCACTTGGAAGATATTTTGTGATTAAAATTAAACTGAACTAATTTTCCAGTTTTAGGAAGCTTTATCCTATTTGTTGTATTTTGACAAACTATTTGTTAAAAGGGCTAATTTAAAAAAAATCTTAAAACATTGTGATTACTGTTAATTCTATGGTGTTATGCATACAACATTCCAAGACCATACCTTCCACCAGAGTGTCCAATTCAACCTATCATTATCTCTAGGTCCCTCCAAACCATTTTCTAATCCCTGTCATTGGTAATCACCATTCTGTAAACCAATTCTTAGGTACTCTTGCTTGGCTATTTGTTATTCCCAAACAGTTTTTTTTTTCTAAATATCCCACACATAAGGATCTGTCCCTTTCCTTCCTAATTTCTCTGATGATGCCCTCCACTTCCAACACTTTAGTGACAAATTGAATTATTTCATTTTTTCTTATACCATTGTGTATATATATCCCACAGTTTCTTTATCCAGTCACAGGTTCTTAGACGGGCTGGAACGATAGCACAGCAGTAGGGCGTTTGCCTTGCATGTGGCTGGTCCGGCCGAGCTGGGTTTGATTCCTCCACTCCTCTCTGAGAGCCTGGCAAGCTATTGAGAGTACCCACACAGCAAAGCCTGTCAAGTTCCCTGTGACGTATTCGATATGCCAAACACAGTAACAACAAGTCTCACAATGGAAACGTTACTGGGCCCGCTCGAGCAACTCAATGAACAATGGGAGGACAGTGCAGTGCTAAGGTTCTTAGACACTAGGATTGTTTTTAGATCTTGGTTATTGTGAATAATGCTACAATAAATATAGGAGTCAATGTATTTTCTTTTCTTTCTTTCATTCTAGTCTTTTTTTTTTCATGTCAGACTGGGAAGTGCTCAGGGATGACTTCTGACTGTGTTCAGGGATTATACCTGCTGGAGCTCAGGAGACCAACGGAGTGTTGGGAATTGAACCCTGGTTGCTTCATGCAAGGCAACTGCTTTCCTCACTGAGCTCCCTCCCTCCCCCATCTCTGGTTGATGAATGTCTTTTTTGAAATTATGTTCTGGACCTTTTCAGGTAGATGCCAAAAAGTGAAGATGATGGTTTTCATGGAAGCTCAGTTATTACTTTTTAAAAACTAAGTAAAATCAAGTCAGTAGTTTTGCACAATGCCAATCCCAGTCAATCCCAAGTACCACCAAGTATCACTCCTGATTACCATGAGTGTGGCCTAAACTTCCCCCCTTCAAAAGAAGTTCTGTTAGAACCTCTATTCTTTTAATAAATTATGTCCTGAAAAATGTCTGTTAAAAACTCAAGTATTGTAACTTGTCAAGGAATAAACTTATGTACAATGTGACCATATCCATTATATATCCATTATATAAGTATCAAGAATTGAGAACCTGCTGAATACCACTTTGTGTGGGTCAAAATTCATTTCAGGAGTCATTTTCAGTAGGTTCCTGAGGATTTCTTTTCCAAGGAAGAGAAGTGGGAGGGTTGGCTGAGCTAAAGAAGTAAGTTGGCTGTTTTTTGCATTGACACAGCAACAAATGTGGAAGCAGTAGATCTTGACAAGGAGGCCAGAGAAGAACACACACAAAGCAACTCTTAGTACACTGAACAAATGAGCTGGGGGACAGAACAAGTGACTCTGTCTACTTGAAAGGGAAGAGCTGAAAAGGTTAGGACAATGAAATTGTAGATGGCAGAGGTGGGGGAGAGAGAGAGAGAAAGAGAGAGAGAGAACTTCAGGGGAGGAAATTAGAAATATCTGAACCATATAATAAAAAATTTTTTTTCATGTAAGCATCAAGAGTTTTGTTGCCTAGTTTTACAAAATTCTAGCATTCACTTTGAAACTAATCATTTTCATGGAAAAACTCTCTCTGTCACCTGATTTATCATATTGGATGGCACACAGGACAATGAAATATGTTTTTCAGAGCCAATGTCAGAGTAAAACTCTATTTCTGTCCCCTACTGTTCCTTGGGCTGGAGTGATAGCACAGCAGGTAGGTCGTTTGCATTGCACGTGGCTGACACAGCCAACATCGCTGACCTGGGTTCGATTTCTCCGCCCCTCTCATAGAGCTGGGCAAGCTACCGAGAGTATTTCCGCCCGCATGGAAAAACCTGGCAAGCTACCTGTGACATATTCGATATGCCAAAAATAGTAACAACAAGTCTCACAATGGAGATGTTACTGGGCCCGTTTGAGCAAATCAATGAGCAATGGGAGGACAGTACTACAGTGCTACTGTTACTTGTATTTTCTCTTGGAAAGTTTTCTTTAGGTTTGGAGAGAGGTTACTTTGAAAAGAGATCTATCAGTGAGAGACTGATCTTAGTAACTCTTGGGAATAATCTGGAGAGTAAGGTTAACAAGCAAAAACTGCCCTCATCTTTTTATCTTAACATGCTTTGGCAGCTCAAACTCCCCTCAACCTTTCACATCGCTTCTTTTCTTCATTTTACAAGCAGTTAGCCAAACATTTTTATGGTAGTGTTAGATTTTTAATATTTTTTAGTCTGCCTCAATGCAATTTTCCCTCTGGCCCTTGTTATTCTCTTCATCTTCTATTAAATTCAATTTGCTAAATTAATTGCAGAAATGATAAGGAGGAGAAAGAAAACAGCAATATCTGCATCCTGCCATGAGAAAGGCCAGGGCTTCAGACATGCGATTCTGTTCATTATACACTATTGAGAAACTAAAAATAACCAGTTGCTTTTAGAAGGTCAAACAAATTTTGAGCCTTACTTAAAAAATACAAAGAGGTTTGGGTTAATTCTTTGAATTGTTGTTAGATAAAATATAACAAATACTACTTTCCTTTGCAAGATATTTTTAAGTTTATAAACTTGGGTGGTGGCATTCTCCAAATCTTGTCTCTTCAGTTGTTCTTACCTTCTTAATAAACTCTTTTAGCTGTTGGCAGTGTTGTCTGTTATAATAATTTTAGATAATTAAAAATTAGTATAGCTTTGGTAATATGATTGCCATAGTTTTGAACTTTATATTATTGATGTTCCAAGTTACTATACCCCACCTCCATCAGTGTTTATAATCTTCCACTGTCCTTTTATTATGGTTCAGATGTTACTATTGTATTGCTGATGCCTAGTAAAATTTATGATGTATAAAATATGATCACAAGCTACCGAGAGTATCTCTTCCGCTAATATATTAATGAAAAGTAAATTCTGCCTTCATGTTCAGTGTGCTCTAACTTCTGTTTTTTCAGGAGGCCCCATGATGGAAAGACACTTAAAGTGATGGGTCTGGGCAGGATATAGAACCTTTGGTTTCCAATTATTTCCTTTAATAATGT